GTTAGTTTGGCTTTGGTAAGAGCAAATCCTGCCTCATTGACCTGCACTGTGAGAGAAACAATGAACACATGAAGGAAGGAATATGGTAGACATAACTTCTGGATTTCCAAATGGCCCTTGACAAGGTCTGAACCTAAAGGCTATTAGAGAAGCTGTGTCCACTGGATGGGAGGAAAGACCATCTTAATGGACTGAAAGCTGGTTAAAGGAGAAGAAACAAAGGCCAGGGCTGGACAGCTGCTGCTCAGGACACAAAAGATTCACTGGTGGGGTGCCTGAGGGATTGGTGCAGGACTGGTGTTATTCAGCATGTCCATCTGTGACCTGAAAAAGGTAATGAACAGTGAAATCTCCAGGTCTGCCAATGATACTGTGATGTTTTGAGCAGCCAAATACCAGCCTGGTGGTGGGGAACTTCAAATGAGGTCAAGAAAACTGGACAAAAAGACATGGCATGAGCTTCAGCACAGACAATAAGTCTATGGAAAAAATACCTTAAACCATGCACACACAACACTGAACTCAGAAACAGTAACTCAGGAAAGTTCCTAGAGACATTGTCGCATGGTCTCCAAAATCATGGGCTCCACATGCAGGAAGAGACAAAAAAAAAGCCAACAAAATTTTGGGCAATATCAGAAAGGGTACTGAGACCAAGACAGACAGAATCACCCACATCTCCAGGACTGTTCAGTTCTCTGCTCCCAAAAAGGCAGAGCAGAAGGGGACCCAGCAACTGCGCCAAGGACTGTGCAAGGATGATGGTGATATGCCACAGGGTAAGGTCCCCAGCACCAGCCAGAGTATCCCTGGCGCTTTAGAGGAAGGATACAGCTTTCAGGGTATTGGGCTACAGGGAGCTCCTGGGACCTCTACCTGAGGCTGGTGGTGGCCTCACCAGTGGAAGGTGTGCTCTGATCAAGGTGCTGAGCTGGCAGGTGAAGAAGCTACAAGTTGACATGATCATACTGCATAGCATCAGTGAAAACAAACAGGAGAGCAACCGGCTCTTTGCAGAAACCCTGCAGAGAGAAGACTCCAAATCCCATGTTGTACAGAAGAAGGGTCAGCTAGGGGCTGTGCTTAAACAAACAGCAGAGGCTCCCAAGCCAGGGAAGGCTGGAAGCTTGAGATTGCTGGCAACAGAGGGAGGAGTCCTTCTCTCTACTGACACGCATCTAAAAAATAGGTACAGTGCCTTGTAGCAGATGAGGAGAAACAAACTACACAAAAGGAGACACTGGAGCCATCCCAGAACAAACCACATGTCAGCACCAACAGGAAGCATCAGGTGAAATCTACTGGAAACCACTTCTGCAAGGGACAGAGGCACACATCTGTCAAACAGACCCGCTGTTTCAGGAGGCTTGTTGCTAGCCAGAGGCTTGGATCTGGCATACTGTGAAGGACAGCTAAGTCAGCAGTGTGCCTTTGCAACAGTGGAAGGTATAACCAGAGAGTTGAGAGAAGTGATCGTTCCCCACTAGTCAGTGCTTGTGACGTTGCATCTGGAGTACAAGACAGACACTGATAAACTGGGATGACTGCAGCAGAGGGCCAAGAAGATGAACAGGGGTGTAGAGAATACATCGTACAAAGAGAGGCAGAGAGACTTGGGGTTTTTCAATTTTGAGAACAGAAAGCTAAAGAGGATGTTGCTGCTGTCTTCAACTACTTAACACAATGGTACAGAGAAAACAGAGGCCAGGCTCTTCTCAAAGGTACGCAGTGGTATACGGAGAGAGGTAAGGGATCCAAGTTGGAGCAAGGAAAATTCTGACTACATATTAGGAAGAAAATGGTCACCATAATAGTAGTTAAACATTGGAAGAGGAGCCCAGAGAAGCTGTGAGATCTCCATCTTTGGCGATACTCAGAACTTGACTAGACAATGCCCTCAGCAAGCTGATCTAGGCTGGCCCTATGCTTTCAGTGAGATCAAGTTACCTCCACAGGTCCCTTCCAACTTGAATGATCCTGTGATGCCACATCTTGAGAAGGGCATAGTGGGGTTAGAGAAGATCCAGAGAAAGGCAAGTAAAATAATGAGGGGATGGAGCAGCGCCTTGCAAGGAGAAATGAAGGCCACAACTCTTGAGTTTGGAGAGAAAGCTGAAGAAGGAGAATGAATGAAGTTTACAACACTGAAGGTGGTGGATAAGCTAAATACAGGACTTCTGTTTATCAAACTGGCAATACAAGAATGGAGGAGCACTCAGTGTAACTAGTGGGACATGGGTTTAGAGCAGATCAAAGAGTGCTTCTTCAGGTAACAGGTAATGATGTTTTGGGACTTGCAGCCATGGGTGTTAGAGGAGACAGATTCAGCATGTGCAAGGAACAAGAGACATATGGATGCAGAAAGGGCTGGGCAGGGCTGTCCCCTCTAACATCCCTAATCCAACAAGTGTGGATGTGCAGGACTGCGAAGGGAATGAGCTGCAGCAAGTGGCTGGCTTGTGTGCTGTCTCTAAATAGCATGAGCTAAAGCCACCACTGGAAAGAGAATGTCAGGCTGAAGGACACTGGCCTGAATGCATAAGAACACTTCTGTTTTTCCTTGCTGTTACACATTTACCCCACTAACACTTTCCAAGTAATGACTGGTTTTCCAAAATGCCTGCATCTTTTCAGGATTCATTAAAAGCCAACATAAGCTCAGCAATTTCAAAAGCTAAGTCTCCCCAACCAGTTCAGCATGAATTATACAGGTTTGCAGGCTTTTACATGCTATTTCGATTTCTACAACAGCAGCAGTATGTCTAGTATAAGCTAACTCTTTACATATGCACGCATCCCTCCCCCATCCCATTTTTTTTTTTTTTTTAATTTATACCGTATTTCTCAGACTCTTGCATCAAATCCTTCATCTTAACCCCAATAATTAAACATCTCACGAATGTCCACTGCTAGGCTGCTCACACAGAACTCTACCTTTGAAATGAAGACACCTGGTTCATGAATCCCAAATGGATGGCTTGAATGGTCACTGCCTCCTACGATGCTGAGTCCCAGGGGACCACCTGCTTTTACAAGGTGAATTTCCTTGAGGGAACAAGAAGAAGAGTCAAAAGGAATAAGGAACATCACATAAGGACCACAAACACCGAAAAACATGGAGTCAGGGATGTTTTGCATAAGCACAAGGTAAGCACCCACAGGACAAGGGGGTTCCCCATTACTTCTCAACGCCCCAATAACACAGTGGGCCAGCCCTCATCAGACTACCAATTTTTCAAATGAAAAATATCCAAGATTACACTATCCCATATTCCAACAGACAGACTCACCTCAATGGGATATTGATCCTCCAGGCCTTTAGACAGACGGTTCTTTTGCAGCGAAGGTGTCTCCTCTGGTGGGCTCTCCCCATGGCTGGGAGGTGGTGGTGGGGAGTGCATGCGCACTCGTGGCACGCCTGGTGAGTCTCCCTCGCTGAGCTGCTCTGCACCCTCTCTCTCTACCAGCAGCACGATGGTGGGGGAGGATGCGGTAAGCAGCGCTACTGCCTGATCATGCCTGGCTTCTGTCATGTCTACCCCATTGATCTAGAACAACCCGCAAACTCAATGTCAGACCATCACCCAAGTACACCCTGTCATTTTAAGCACTTAGCCAAGTGCTTAAGGGACCCCATTCTGCTGGAACACTGCCCCGTCTCAAAAGCCTGTTCCCCAAAGCACTTTGTAACTTTCCCCACTCCTTCCTATCTGGCAAAGGGACACAGGCACCTGCTCATTCCCACCTGACCTCAATCCTCTTTCTAGACAGCTTACCAGCCCCTTTCCCACCTTCCCTGTACACCTCCAAGCCCTAACAGCATCAGTGATGCTCCAGGGGACCATGAAGACCAAGTACCATGCCCCACCTCCTGGAGCACTACAAACCTAGCTATTGTCCAGACTATGCTGTGGCTCACTCATTACCAGGACAGTACCTGTCACTCCTTCTGGGCTTTCCTACTGGGTTACAGCAAAAGAAGCCCAAGAGGTTACATTAAAGGAATGGGTCCAAACATCTCAATATGGGAAGATGACAAAACAGCAATTCCCAGAAGTGATACCACAGCATACGAATGTGCCATGGCATCAGCTGCCTTTGCACTAGGCCATTTGCCTTTATCAATCACTCTCAAAGCCCAGACACAGGCACTGAAGAGCATGATCTGATGTGTGACAGGACCTGTCACTGGCCACTGGGCTGCTGTCCACCCGTGCTGGGCAAAGTTATGGCAGTCTGGGGAAGATGTCAGTTTTAAGCCATAAAAGTGTACCCCAGGTATAAGAAGACTTGGAAGCACTGAGAAGGAGACTCTGCTAGTGCACAGTGACTGACTGGGTGACACAAAAGGAAAACTAGAATTCTTTTGGACAAGAAAACTTTATCTAATATGCTATGCCAAATAATTTCAAGAATACCACTACAGTCATCTTGCAATATCAGTGAAAGATACAATGCTTCAGACAAAGAGGTACTTCCAGTACATACAGGGAAGCAGCAGTGTCATTCATACAAAGCATTGAAGAGAACTCATCTGAAAAACTGTATACTATTCTCATCCTTCACACACAAAAAATTATGTAACATAAGTTAACAAGATGCACAGAGAAAAGCTGCTACGACAGGCAGGGGAACAGAGTGCCTTTCCTACAAAATTAAGATTTAAAACAGCTTGCCTAGAAACTCAAAGGACCAGAAGAATGCAACTGTTCTCCATGAATGGACAGAATATTGAAAGGAGAGCTAAGCTAGAACACTGCCAAAAGGATGAAACTTGCCACAAAAAGTTGAAGATGAAAATTAAAAGGTTTCTAGTCTTTAGGTTCTGGAAAAGCTTTTCAAAACGAACAATGAGGACACAAAAATAACAGTTGTTATGATGGTGTTTGATCAGCTTACAAAATAATAACATGACTTTGTAACAGCCACAGCAACTGGATTTTGTAGCCTGATTCCTCACTGTCTGATTCCTAGAAATATAATAGTTAGTCCCTAGCTCCTTCCAAGAAAGCAGTTTCTGGACAAAGCTGACCGCACTTTGTCCACGGAGGCTTTGTCCAGAACCCCCATAAACACCACCCCCTCTACCCGACCTGCCCCATCCCATCCACATCAAGTGTGCTACTCCCCTATTGACATGGAAGAAGATAGGCAAGACAGCCCTACACTGTGTTGGATGCAAACCAGAAACTCTCAGCCCCACAGCACCTCCCTCTACTCAGAGGATTGTCCCCAAAGAGATACCTTTGGCACCAACCACAGAGGACGAACAGAAGGATGTGAAGGCATGACAGCCTGCACATGCATGCAGGAAGAGCAAGATGTAAAAGTACCTGGGTAGTGACTGCTGAGCATGAGAGACAAGGCACTAAGCAGGAAAGAGAATAAATTAAACACACAGGTGCACAAACCTTAATGAAATGCAGATAACAGGGACGAGACTCAATGCACTCATAGATGGATCATTAAAGGAATCACTCAAATGGTAATATTAAAGAAGTGCGACCAAAAACTTGGTAATCAATACACAGAGGAAATCAAGATTATCATGGGTTATCAGAACAGCTCTCATGGGAAAGAGCAAACTTGCTCCAGGAAGTTTTAAGGGGGATTGTGGGAACGTGCAAAACTGATTATGGGATGTTTAGCAGAAGGATCACAGGTAGGAAAGGGGAGTGGCCAAGGAAGAGAAGGCAGGAACAAGCATGGGGAAAATGAAGAGGGTGGAGAATAAAAGAAGCTGATCACATGCAAGCAGGCTGCTCGTCAGTATGCTTGTCTGGCCAAGCCCTGTGCCTGATCACCATAGTCTGGTCTATCTTTTTATTAAACTCTGTTTGTATTTACTGTGCAAGTTTGCTCTCTATTCTGGGTATGTGTGCGAGATCTACTAATAAAATTCAAGTTGGACTAGCCAGCAAGTAGGAATCAAAAACGTGGAAAGACCCAACAGCTGGCCCAGAAACTGGATAAAAGGCTCAGGGTCTGACCAAAGAGCCTTGAAGAACTTGACACTTAGGCCAGAGACTGAAGAGACCTGCAGACATGAATATTTATGTGAGTCGAGTGACGGAGTACATGTGCATGTTCCACTAGCAAACCTTAAACTTGATTAGCCAGTGGGTAGGAACAGTTGTTCTGTGTTGTTCATACCCTATGAGGACTGTTTGTGTTTATATGTGTGTGCGTGTAAAGGTACTGCCCCCCTTGTCTGTGTAAATCTGTGGCCAGCCATGTCTGCAGTGTGTTTCATCTTTGCAATCTGCACTTAGCCTTCCTGATGGCTAGGCCTGGGAAGGGGGAAAAGCAGCAGCCTTGTGTCCAGTGGACTGGGAAGGGAGGATCCCTTGGGTCCTCCCATCTGCCAGATACACCATTTTTTAACAAAGATGACATGCAGAAGGGACTTGGCCTTTAGGTTCTTACCACCAGATCAAGGCCCAACGTACTCCACAGAGATCTGCTGTAGCAGCATGCACTGTTGACTTCACCCATTCCCCTCTGTTATTTTTCTGCCACTGACAAGAAGATGAGAATGGTCAGACTTGGTCAGACCAAAAGTATACAGTGGTACTTCCCTGGACTAGTGAACATGGACACAGGAACTCCCTGTGTCGGAGGTATATCATATGTAACAGCCCTTGATGGCATTTTACTCATTAACTTCTCCATTACCTGGCAATCATGATGCCTTCCCAGTTTTTGGACAGCTAGTTTTCAGTGGCCTTTATTGCTATGTCTCTGCTTAGCAAGAGAACAAGGCCAACCAGTGCAGTTCAACTATTTAAGTGCCCAGAGGAAGGCAAAAAGTGTCGCCTGTCCTTTCCCAGCTCCACACATTTTTCTGTGTGCCAGGGAGTTATATTCTGGCAAATTTCTTAGTGATCAGATTGCTCTCATTAGGACCCCCATGTGTTGCCTGGTGCTACTACTGTCCTAAATCTCCCTCAGAATCAGTTTTCTTCAGTTTACTCCCAGTCCTATCCCAAAAAACTAGCTGCCCTTAGCCACTGCTCCCAGTCCTGCACTCTCTCTGCTAGATTCCCATCCCACAATTCAAACTCTCCAACATTCCCCCCTTGCAGCTCCCTGCCCCATGTCTTCCACTACCAAAATGACTCTCAAGATGCCTGTGATGACTCTCAAAGACACTAGAATATGGGCAAGCTGGACGGTTAGTAGCCAGTCACTGGTGAGTTTTGTGGGGTGTTAACTTCGAAGAGAGATCTAGGCTGGGCTCTTCAATCCATGTACTCAAAGCTCCCTTATGAAAGTAAAAGGAGCTATCCCAGTCCTTCCCCTGCAGAGAAGTCCAGGACGATTTAGAGCACAGGGGAAGAGTATGAAGCTGTGCTGTATTTCTTTTCCTAAGAAAACAAAAATTCTTTGGCAAAGTGAGAAGTGAGGCATGACTAGGAGACTACGGCTTTGGAAATGGCCTTCTGCCTGCTGGACCTACGAAACTGCCTGTATCGTAACGAGGGCCCTCCTGCTTTCCCCATGCAGATAAAGGGGAACACATGCAACCTGCACTGCACATCCTAGGAACCATCACATCCTGAAAAGCTTTCCAATGAAAATGGGCAACCACTGCTTCAAAAGAGTTGTGGTAAACAGGGAATTTACGCGATGCTATGCGAGCACAGCTTTGAAGTGAACAGACATTCTCTCAACATCCAGTATCACTGGGCCAGGGTAGCCCCGCAGCTCTAACCTAGCACCAGATTTCGCCAGAGACTGAGCAAAACTCACACAGCTGCTCATGCAACTCTTACTGCAAGCAGATATTCTCAAGGACAAATATCACCGAGAAGATATCAGAGGCCTCAGGATGTAACACTATCACTACGTGGACATCATACTTAGCAGTGAACCCCACAAGCAGGAAAGGCAGAGTGGCAACTGCTGCCAGGAGGCATGGGTGCTGGAGGAGTGACAGTCAGACACTTGCTGGGAGGCAGAGAAGTTATGTGAGTAGTCCAGACTAGGTAAGTGTTCTCCTGGAAGATAATAATTTGTTCCTGCTTTCATCATAACTGAGCACATGATTTGAGCTGCAGCTGATGCTCAGCCCCAAACCTTTTATGACTACACACACTTCAGCACAGGTAACATTCTTGAGAGCAGAGCACCATGCTCTCAAGCATGGACATATTTCCTACCTATGCAATAACACTGCACTCATCATTGCAGCGGGGTGTGTCAGAGGACTAATGACAGCAAGGCCTTCATCCACATTAAAATCTAACAAAGGCCCCGAGTTCTGTAAGCCCTGAGCCCATACATTGCAGTCTGAAGACACTGCAAGCTATTACTGGGGAATTAGATCTGCTTTTCCTATGAAGCTGCCCACAGATATAAATAGAGCTGCTAATGGGGGGTGGAGACAGGTTTGACTTTTGACGCTATTCTAAGATCTTGTGTTTCCTTCTTGCTACAGGTAGAGCAAATCAACACCACATAATAGGCTGTGTGCCTGCAATTATGCCTCTCAGTCATGCCTCTGCACCAGTGGAGCATCAAAAGATGAGCAAAACCAAAATAATTTAGGCTATCTGGCAACAATCAAGGTCAGGGCTTGATTTTGAGAGGAGGGGGGAGCACTAGCAAGGAGTGAGAGATGCTGTACCAGTTCAAGTCTCCTGCCAAGATACAAATGTCAGACCTGGGCCAGAGCGCCACTAAAATTTTGTGCCAGAGCAAATACAACACAGCCCCCAGCCTAGGGATAGAGCAGACAGAAGCCAGCACTGACAAGGCTGTATCAGTGTTTACTCACGCCAGCTCTGTGGTAACACGTGCTCTTACCACAACAGCTGGATCAGAAACCCACCACCAGCACCAGGATGCAGGAGCTTTCACTCGGAGGCAGCATGCGAGCTTGGAAAGAGGGTCAGGAGACTCAGCAGACTCTCCCCGCAGGAGGGGGAGCAAGTGACACATTAGGCAGAGAGACTTGAGGTTAGAGGCAGCAGTGAGATCCATATCACTGGCACAAACAGGAAGGGAAACTGGGGCCGGAGTTTCAAATGAAAGCAGGGGGAAGCACTGCGGTATGCCCTGCCCAGCTCCACACCACCCTAGGCAGTCTCCCTCCACTTCAGCCTATGCTGACCCCTGCCACCCTGCTCTCCGCAGGGAGCCGGGTCAGCTGTGCCCCAAAGGGCTTCCCGCCCCACATGCCATGCTGCGGCAGAGCCCTCTGAGGCTGTCCTACAAGGCTCTGGAGGGACAGCAGGCTAGGGCAGTGCTGCTATATCATCTCTCTCCAGTACAGCCCAGACTGCCACATGCCGTTCCTGTGGGGAAGCGCTCACACACAGTGCTTGGGGAAAGGGGAGGCATTAACTGCGCCCACCATCAGTTACAGACAGGGGTAGAACCACCAAGATTAAATGCTCTCCCAGAAGGCTCAGGAGCTGAAAAAAGGACCCCCAAAATCCAGCATCAATGACAGAAAAACAGCCCCTGTATGAGGAAGGGTAGGGAGCTGAGTCAGATCCCTTCCCTGCACACCCACACTCACCGAGATGACCCGATCTCCTACACGAAGGATCCCGTCCCGATGGGCTGCACCACCCTCTGCAATCCGTGAGATAAAGATTCCCTGAAACACAGTCAGAAGGGTCAGAGCAGCCTGTGCTTCCCCTCACCAGGGCTTGGCTTTCCAGAATCATTCCTGGACACCAGGCAGGTCTCAGCCCTTTCCCCTTCACAGACCCCTCCCCTGCCCTGGCACTTCCCATTTGTTCCTCATTCCACACAGACGCTCTTATGCTTCTAGAGCCACCTGCAAAACCTCCAGCTGCAGCAAAGCCTTCATGTGGCTGAGAGCCCAGAATATATGTCAAGAGGACAGCAGCAAGATTAAATGTCACTGGCAGGGATTGTGAGCCCCAGCCCCACCTCCTTCTGAACTTCTCTCCTTCCCTGACTTCAGAGCAAATTCTGGCTCTCAGAGCCCACCTGGCCCACCAGCCCAGGGCCATGCTGCACTGCTGCGTGCCCATGGATGAGGAAGACCCCGCACTGCTCCCACAAGCAGTCACAAGACTTAGGGATCGAGCACCTTCCTTCCCAGGGAATCATTACTGACCGTGTCACCGGCTCGGTAGGGTGTGGAGCCTTTGCCACCAGCAATGCTGAAGCCCAGGCCCTTCTCATTGCGCATAAGGCAGGTGGAATATCTTTCTGTGGGAGGTGCCCCCTCAGGTTCTTCTGCTTCTAGAGCCACCTGCAAAACCTCCAGCTGCAGCAAAGCCTTCATGTGGCTGAGAGCCCAGAATATATGTCAAGAGGACAGCAGCAAGATTAAATGTCACTGGCAGGGATTGTGAGCCCCAGCCCCACCTCCTTCTGAACTTCTCTCCTTCCCTGACTTCAGAGCAAATTCTGGCTCTCAGAGCCCACCTGGCCCACCAGCCCAGGGCCATGCTGCACTGCTGCGTGCCCATGGATGAGGAAGACCCCGCACTGCTCCCACAAGCAGTCACAAGACTTAGGGATCGAGCACCTTCCTTCCCAGGGAATCATTACTGACCGTGTCACCGGCTCGGTAGGGTGTGGAGCCTTTGCCACCAGCAATGCTGAAGCCCAGGCCCTTCTCATTGCGCATAAGGCAGGTGGAATATCTTTCTGTGGGAGGTGCCCCCTCAGGTCGCTCTGGGAAGCGTAGACCACCTCGCCTCTCACGAGGGCTGTAGTCATCCTCAGGGCGCAGCGGTGTGACAGTGATGGCGTTCTCCGGCTCCACCATCCGTTCCCGCAGAACTGTCATGGAGACGGAGCTTCCTGATCCACGCAGAGCTTCCACTGCCACGTGATGCTCAGCACAGTGCAGGGACACGCCGTTCACCTGGGGACAGAGCCAGGCACAATCCTTACCTCCATGGGGAGTTCTTCCAACAGCTGCACAGACAGCTCTAGCCTTAGCAAGTGCTGCCCAGTGGAGGCACAGCTCATCCCCTGCAGAGCTGGGTCGACACCTTGTTCCCACAGGGGTACCCAGACCTCACCTGCTGCCCGCAAGGGAGCTTCTGGGCACTCGCACAGCACAGGAGGCTCCCACAACACAGGCTGCCTGTCCCTGGCCAGGGCAGCCCTGCCAAGCACAGTAAAGGCCCTTTCAGAGGAATTCTCCCCCCACAGGGAGCTCCAACTTCCCTATCACCTGTATCATCCCTGCAGGCAACAAACTCCCAGAGAGATGACCACTCACCCAGAACTATCTCCCCTGACAAATCTCAGTACAACTCAGGTCGACACAACTTCTGGTTCACCTTCAGGACTCATACCCTGAAACACCCATTTCCTTCCCATCCATGCAAAACTAGTAAGTACTTGCAGGGAGGACACTAGGTTCTGCAGCTCTCAGGGAAGCAACCTGATTCCCTCCACTCTTGCTTCCCTGATTTCAGGAAAAAGTACTACCACATTAGAAGACTGAGGAAATGCAAAGGGGGGCCCATGAAGCTGAAGAATCTTCTTTTCATAACAGCTACCTCACTTCATATTAACACACGCTTACAGAAAAGATTGTCTGGTGCTCAACCTGAAAACTAGATGTTCAAATCTATTTCCTCCACTTCATGGCATTTAGGGGTTTTTCTCATCGTGGGCTTCATTATTGAGCAATGCTCTGTATCCCTGCTCTAGGGGTAAAGAGGCATTCCTTACAATTCACAGCCAATGAGAACGGAACCCAAGACTGATGTGCCTCAGCCACATCTTACTTGTGGACATAACACAGTCTTTTAGAAGGAATACAGCAAATCTCTGAGTTATGTTGTGAGGATACATCCACTTTTGCAGGAGGCACAGATGAATGGGCATCATGGGAAGTGAATCAGAAGTGAAAAATCCCCAGTCTTTTCCCAAAGCTGTAACTGAAGAGGGATCTACTTTATATGAAATAGTAGGGTGCCATGAATTTAACTGTTGGGAAAGGGAATAATCATTCATCTCTCAAAATCTTCAAGATCTGACTCCCTTTTGGAAGTCATTCTGCAGCAAAATGCAGTATGATGCATGCAGCACAAGTATGCTCAGTGACACTTAAGGCCCTAAAACATACAAAAGACCATGCTAGATCAAGTGCATATTTGTTTTTGGACTTGATGGAATTATCAAGACAATCCTATGATAATGGCAGAAGTGAACAAGGTAACTTCTGAAACTTCAGAATCAAGTTTTTCCCATGAAGCAATATAAAAACTTCTAATTACAGAAAAAGATAGCACTTTATTTGACTTCTACCATGGTCAATGCCAGATAAGTTGTGAGAAAGACTGGAACATCTACTCAGGCAAATGCCCAGGCCTCCACTGCTAGTATGTAGGCTGCAGTGAGTAGGAGTGCATGAGATACCTAGAGACAACACACCAGATCGCACAAACACAGGCCAGTGACCCAAATATAGATCACTTATTCCTCTGATCTCTGTCCAGCACTGTAGTGACATCTATTCCCTCCATAATGTAATCAATCCTTCCTCAAGTGCATCTTAATCCTGTATGATTAATCATGTTTTTAAATAATTTGAAGACAGGCAAGTACGGCATATAGCTGGCTCCCTGGTTAAGAAGTTATCTTACAAGGTCCACTTTTGCCCCACGCAGGAAAGCAGATATGTAGAGGCTGGCTGGTCAGTCTGTTGGGGACGTGGGCACACACTGATGAGTATTTCTTCCCACCTGGGTTACACAACACTTCAGAGTTGGGGGAGAGTGAATGCAGGAGCAATTTCTGTCCTTATAAAGCAGCAAAAGATTAACAGTAATGTTAATTAAACAACTAACTCTTTGAGCCAGGGGAATTTTGTTTTGCTCTTGCACAGCTCCTGATGCTTAATTTGGCCTACAAACTAGCAAGATACAAATAAATACCAAACCATACTTCTCCCTCCACTCTCAAGTCATTAGAAGCATTTACTTCTTCACAGTAGCTAGATTCTTACCTCCAGAAGCTTGTCCCCAACACGAACCCCTGCACGAGCTGCGGGACCCTCTTCTGACACGCGGGAAATAAAGATGCCCTGGAAACAAAACTACTTGTTAGAAAAGGTGGAACCCATTCCTCAACCCTCTCAAGTGTAGAGAGACCACTCCACACCGTTCAACTCAGGGGAAAGGGGAAATCCCTTGCCAATCCCATACCCTGTATGTGAGGACAATACAGCCACATCACCCCATTCAGGAGTTGACAGAAGGGGGAAAGAAATCCCATTGCAGGGCTACCCCACAGGTGACAAAGGGAAAAAGGGAATGACGCTTTAATCCTTTTCCAGTGGGATGAGAACATGACACAGCTGATGCCACCACATATGTGGAAGACAACCCCATACTCTTTGCCTTGTGAGTCCTGTATGTCAGGACACAGATGGGAAGGGAACAGCTGTTCTCATTGCTGCTCTCTGGTCAGTAGCAGGAAGGTACAACAAATTGTGCTCCAGAGGCAAAAGCCTGCTCAGCCCTGCCAGCCTCCTGCTTCGGGGCGGGTCAAGGGCTGCTCCCACCTTGCTCTGAAAGCCCAGCCCAGACACCAAGCTGATACATACGGACATCCAACCTCCAGCTACAGAGAACTAATCCCTGAAAGTGGGTGCTTCAATAGTTATGCAGTCCAGAGTCTTACCTCATCATCACCCTTATAGGGGGTGGAGCCCTTGCCCCCTGCGATGCTGATGCCCAGCCCCCCCGTCTGCCGCACGATAGTCAGTGTCAACTGGAAGCAGAATGGACACAGGTTACAGGTCAGTGCAGACTGGGAGAATGCCCAAATGATCTTGAAGAGCAAGGGATGACTACTTAAAGAATAAGCACAAGAGTATACACTTTATCTGCATGCATCTGTTCACATATATGTGTAAGCTGTGGTATCCATGCCTCAAAGGCACCAAAGTCACAATACTTTTAAACAAACAAATCCTTTTTCACAGTTGAGTCCTGAACCATATCTCAAGACCAAGAGTCAGTTTGCCTGTAATGAACACATTGGAACGATATGACCACCACAAAGTAAACTGAGCAGCAGGGGTATAGGACTGGATAAAGAAACAGGGATAGTGTTCACACCACAGCCCAGCTCTATCACATGGCTCCCTTTGGAGTGTTTTTCCATACAGCTACTGGGAGATTAAGGATCACCCCAATGTAGCGTGCAGTAAACAAGAATGACACCTCTTCCAGAATACCCTGAACAGATACTTGGCTTTGCTCTATTGATGGAAATCAACACGTGATTCCAAAAAAGCCATCTGCTTTGTCCAGCTGGCTCCTTCCTCTTCTCCCCTCTGCGCAGGCAGGCTCAGGACTGTAGCTGTGCAATCCAGAAGTCTCTTCTTCCTGTCTCCCACCTCTACATACCAAATTATGCCCACTTCCAATAGCAAAACTTTTGGTGAAACTTGAACTGAAATTGCTTATATTCAGGACACCAGCATAATCTGTTCACGTTGCCCCAGTCACGAGAAGGAAAACAGGGAGCATGTGGTAGGATACAGGGAAAGGAATGGGATAGATAGGACTCTCAGGGATCTGTCAGGGCCAAGGACCAAGGAGCTGGTGAGGTAAGTGACAGAAATGTACATAGACTCCTGGAGAGAACAAAATTTGCTGTCCTCCAGACGTCACTTCTCTGGAAACAAAGTCCAGAACAGAGAGCGGCTGCTGCAGAGGTGTCTAGCTTCAACATCAGGCCCACTTGGCCTAGGTTGGGCCACAGTGTGGGCAGCAAAAGAAGCAGGAGACTTGCTTTCCTTAACCCCTCCCTTCAAGTCCTTCTTCACTTTCTACAATGACAGAAGCAACAGCTTGTGGAGCTTCACATTCTGCTAAGTTTAAAATAAAAACAAACCAAAAAAGCACCACAGGAATTGTAGAACTAAAATGAGGTTCCTTGCCATTTCCTTTGGTGCCCAGTCAACAGCGTAGCAGACAGCTGAAATTCTAGACAGACCATAAGTACATTGTCTCCAGTGCAAGACCTAGAGACTGAGTAAAATCCAAGTATTGAACACAAGGATTATTCAGGTGAGACAGAGAAATGTGGTAGTCATGAGACAGCATTGCATGTCATTGATAGCACACTTTAAGACCAGTTATAGATTAGACTAACGCTTCTTGCGTGAACAAGTCTATTAGGATCTAACTACAGATACCACCTTTTTTCTTCCAGTCTCACTAGATTTTAGTAATGCTCTAAAGACTTATATCCATATTAAACACAAACACTTCTAAAGACAATGGAAAACTAGGTCTCCAGACAAGGACTAGAGTGTATTTTAATAACAGGATCCAGATATGTTTTCCAAGTAAGATAGCTGATGGTTTTGCTCTGTGCCTGAATCAATAGGACAGGACTGTTATTTTTGACAATGAGCAAGGAATATCCAATGTCCCTGGTTACAGAAAGTCACTTTCAGTTGCACAGTAAGTTGATTGTGTAAACTAACTGAAAGATAAACAACAAAACCCATGGATTTCACAAATTCATAGAAACCAGACTGAAAATATGGGGAAATCTGCCAGAAGAGTCAACTGGACTGAGGGTTAAGAACATTACGTCTATCAAAATACACTGAAAAAGCAAAACACCAAGGAGAAACCAGACCTAATTAAACTAAAGACACTGCTAGAACAACAGTAAATGGGCTTGAATTGGACATAAATATATTCAGGCTGGAAAGAAGATTTCAAACTCCCAGAGCAAATTAGTTCTCCCATCAAAACAGCGTGGTGAGAAACTGAACTGGTGAATGTTTGTTTGAAGTCTATGAAAAGAATAATTGACATGAATATGAACCTGAGAAAAAAGGAACTGGATCCAGTAGCCTATAACGGCCTTCCAGTTTTATATTCAATAGTTCACATTACAGCCCAGACACTGCCTTTTGCACTAAACCAGTAAGTTATTTCATCCCAAAAGTGCATCTGTCCTAAGCATGCTTCAGAGCTTCCTTGACTTCCACGGTGTCTAGACTGATGCTCTGGAAACACAGCAAACAGCTGGCCTAACAGGAGGGACAGCACAGCCTCCTCCCCTGCAGTCACTCTTGCCAGTGACTTTCCTAGGTATTTTTCTCTTCTCCCCTAGAACCGGGGATCCACCTGCTCATCTCAGATGTAACAACTGATCTGTGATACTCTGCACCTAGAAACATGCTGCTCAACTGATTCTGGCTCCTTCCTTTGCAGAAAGGGCAAACCTTCATAAAGTGGGCAACATATTCAGAGTTTCTTCCTAGTTCCTCCCAGACAGACAAGCACCCACGCCCTCCACAGAAAAGTGCTACTGGTGAAGGAGAAGAGTGCGAAAATTGAAAGAGCTGCCACTTCAGCCTAGAGTTGTCATCTCCCTGAACTCCAACTGGAGACTAGGACTAGCCATTTATCATCAATGGCACCAAAGCACAAGCCAAGGAAACAGTTATATCTCCCTCTGCTCTCCTCTATCCCCCTCAGTTCCACCTGTGTTTCTGCCTGTACATCTCCAAGGAACACACTCAAACAAGGACTGATTCCATCTCAACCTATTTTTCATACATTTTTAATACAGCTACCTTTTAACACATTCACTCGATCTTGTGAGATTTTCCAACTTGCAGTGAGTAAATGTATACCGTCCTGGAGAAACTAGAAATGTTGCACACATGGACAGGCTTACTTTTCAGTAGCAGCCAGGGATATCTGAGTATTGCCCAATGGACTTGAAACACTATTCAATGCTGTGCCTTGCAACTGCCAGCTAAGGGTTTTTGCAACTTGCTCTTGGCAGGGGCACAGCAGACACAGAGGCAGCAAACTAGACATTCACAGCATTCAACTGCCAAAGCATGGAGCTGTTGCACTTCAGAACCTGCTGAAAGACCAAGTTGTTCCTCCAGAAATACCTAAGGGAGCGGGGGGTTTAAGGGCTTTATTTCCAGAAGGCAGCAAGTTTCTGCGTGCACAGGCATCTTTTTATAACTTGCTATCTGGAGGCATGCAAGTGTCTAATCCCTGCATTTACGTCACTTGAAACTTTAAATCAGACTGCATCGTCAACAATGACACAGAAAACGCAAACATGCAATAAATACTTCTGATCTGTATTTGGACAGAAGCATGATGATGTACACGCATCACATGAAGATGATGAATCACACTTCACTCCAACAGCAGCTGAAGAATCCCTTTAATATCATCAATAAGGAATAACCATTTTAAAAGTCAAAAGGACTGGATAACTTGTACCCAAGAGTCCTAACAACTGACTGAGATCTCTAATATGCTTATAGAGCATTTATAGAATTCTGGAATCTTGATACCCTGAAATAGCATTTACATTGTGCTGTCAGACTAGGAGATTACACAGGATGATGCCTGTAACTATCAGCACATCATCCTAGCACCAATTCCAGAGAAGCAACTGAAGAACATGCATGCCTCTTACCAGGCACACAGAAATAGCACTCACGCCAAACAGCCGAGTTTTATGAAAATTAGGTCTCTCAAAAAACAAACACACTTCTATTTCATTCTTTGACAACACTCCAAACTTGGCTGATAAAGTAATAGTAAAGATTTAATAAGCAGACTTTTGTAAAACATGAAACTTGCTATCACAAGACATTCTTATTGACATCATATGATGCTGGTTTTAGGTGTATATTATACAAGCTAAAAACTAGCAGAGTTCAAGTACTACTCATCACTGAAGACCCAAGAAGTAGGGTTCTGCCGAGAACTGCATCAGGCCTGATCTTATTCCAAATCACTGACAGTAAAAATGTTAATTGTTCCATATGTGCGGAGGCTAGGAGCCTTCAAATATGGGAGGTGGAGGGATAGACATCTTTTTTCCTTTTCATGCCATTAATACATTTATAGGAAATGATTATTCCATGTTTGTAACAACAAAGGAATTAGGGATACCCAATGAAATTTCAGCAGCAGGCTTAAAAAAATTCTTTTTAATATAAAGCATGAGTAAATTATATAATTTATTACCACTAAATACTGTGGAACTAAAACATAAAAAAGGGATTGGAAAGATCAGACAATTTCGTAGGCAGCAGCTCCCCTGTGTCTAGTACAATGGTATGAACAGTCCAGAAATCCTAAACTACAGATTGCAAGGACTTGGGAAAATACCAGTGAAAGGATCACCATACCTCGCTAAGGTCTGTGCTTCCTAATCCCTGAAGAAAGCCCCTCACACCCACCATTAGAGATGTCTTTACACAGACATCACATTCAACTCTGTATGTCCTTTTTCCAGGAACACCTCAACAAAAAAGAGGGTATTTACATAGCACATAAATGTAAGAGACACATAGGAGTTCAGGAGCCAGAGGCACTGACTCACCAGGTCAGATTAGAAGAGCTAAATCTGTCTGGCTTCAGTAAGCAATAACTCGTGAGGACAAGTGGACAGGCTGAAAATATCAGTGACCAAATGGAAGGTGGGAGATTACTGCATGAGCTGTTGAGAACTAAATTAAAAACAAGCAACGGAAAAAGGAACATGAAGGAAAGATCCTGCCCTGGCAGAGGAGCAGCCTGCTGAGTAGGAGCTGAAGATTTTCTGGCTCTGATGTTATTTCTTCCTCTGTTCAGATGGTTTTTTAGTTACCAAGGGAATGGACACTTACAAGGCAGAGATGGTAGGGTACAGATCAGAGGAGTCAAGCACTTTACTGCCTTCGTACTAAACCACCTCTCCACCCAGTTTAGTATTAACCA